GTCTTCCAAAAAGATAGTATATCAAAATCTGAACTTCTTAGCATCATACCATCTTCTAAGTAGCGATCCAACGTAGACCTCCCATATGCTTTTGTTATGTCTCTTGTTTGAATAAACTTATTAAAATCAGAGAGATCATCAATTAATGAGTATTTGGAATCAATATCTGATTGAAGAGGGGTAGTAGAAGGATGTGGTTTATAATCACTTCCTTGCCTCGCTTTATATTCGCCTACCAATTCCAAGCAAAACTCCTTAATCCTCTTCACTTAATTTAAAGTTTCCACACATCTATACATTTTCTCATAGTAATACTCCAAAATTTTTAACTTATACCGTGGATCTAAAACAGTAACTATTCTCATAACACCAAGAATCACGCTCCAATATTTGTTAAACTTTTCGAATATATTTAAGGTCATATCTTTTTATCACGTCTTTGAGACCTTGAAGCCACTTAGATAATTCTACTATTACCCCACAAATAGTTGAAAAATATACATTGACAGTAAGATACTTTGTACCTGAAAATAATTTTGTTGCAATATGAAACAATTCTAATTTTTCACAAATCTCTCTTGCCACCTCCCAATCATCTTCGGTCGGACAAATCTTGTAATGAGAATCTCGATATTTTAAGCGAGCAAACACATCTTTATAAATCAAACTAGTTTGAGGCATAAAAAAAGTAGAGTTCCATCGAGTCTTAACATCAAGAACAAACTTCTTGTTACTTGGAATATGTATTTGATGAGCTGCCTCTTCAAATTTTTGCACTCTCTTAGGAGATGCTGTCCAATAAGCAACACTATCACGAATTCTTTCTATACCATCTCCAATCACATTCAAACCATCTTGGACAATTAAGTTGAGAATATGTGCACAACAATGCATATGGAACAACCGATCATGCAATATTAGTGAACCAAATAGAAGTTTATCCAACAAAATAATCACAATTGCATCATTAGTGATACAATTATCCACAGTCAAAGTGATCAATTTTCTATCAACGTTCCAATCGAAAAAACAATACATTAAACACTCCACAAGCACTTTCTTGGTGTGTGCATAAAGCACATACAAAAATCTAAAGATAATAAATAATACATGTTAATAGAAGATCATTAGTACCCTATAATAAATAACACATGCTAATGAAAGATCATTAGTACCTTATAATCCGATTTTGCAATGTCCAAGAATTGTCAATAAAGTGTGTGGTGATTGTTATGTATCATTTTCTTTGATTGTTTGAGGACCGCATGTCCGTAGTGATAGCAACTCTACTTTTTGTCTTTTTCCAACAACTTCATTATCTTCTCCTTTTCGATTTTGTAAATTTGAAGGATATCATTTCTAAGAGTGTTTCGGAATATCATTTTGAACTGTAAGGGGTAGAAATCGCTACGGATTTCATCCCTCCACTTGAAGGATTCCGGCTGACCTGGCGGCACCGAGCCCCGATAGCCTTTACCTCTCTTCGCCAATAGGACCCTTTCCTAAGGCAATCCCACATCGGAAGAGAGTCGTTTTCCCCCCTGCCATATAAGTGAACACTTCTTATGGAGGAGGTACCCACTAGCGACCTGATCAGGTGCCTAGTGGGTACCTCCTCCATAGGAAGTGTTCACTTATATGGCAGGGGGGGAAGACGACTCTCTTCCGATGTGGGATTGCCTTAGGAAAGGGTCCTATTGGCGAAGAGAGGTAAAGGCTACTGGGGCTCGGTGCCGCCAGGTCAGCCGGAATCCTTCAAGTGGAGGGATGAAATCCGTAGCGATTTCTACCCCTTACATGAACATTGGTTGAAGAGTGTGTCAATATTTTTGAAACCCGTGATGCTCAATCATACTAAGAGGATATTCATGCAATATAATCATATTGGCAAGATTCCTCCTCCCCACCTCTTGAACAAATCGCCAGTTCTCCATTATTTTCTCAGTATCTTTCTTTAATTGGTTTGATACCAATAAACATTGCTTCAAATTTTTATATTTCTTCCTCAGACAACTTTTAAGATGGTCATGCAAGTGGGTAGTTCCATTCTTATCACCATCAACAAGCAATTTTTTACATTCATTGCACTCAGCCTTTAACATCTCATTAATTGTTTTCCTCTTGAAATAATTCCACACAATTGATTTATGCCTATCTGTTTCACCAAGACTCATTGGAGTTGAGTTGGTAGATTGATTTTCATCAATAAAGATTAGAAGTTAGTTGTTTTCACCAAGTGTTGTAGAAGTTTGAGGAGTTGACATATTATTTCTCACTTTTTCTCCTTCCATTCCTACTTAATCAACTAAGTAATATAAATAATCAAACAAAAACGAGCAAGCAAAGCAATCTAGCAATTAAATAGCATACCAATTTCTGCACGAAAGAGGAAGAACAGATGCAGAGGAGATCCAACAGCCTCAAGATACAAGCAACCTATAGGCAGGTTATAATGAATAAGTGACTGCACTGATACAATTAGCGAAATGAACTCCCAAGAAAAATATGCAGAAACTCAGAACAATAGCAGACATGGCAAGGCTTGCATAAATTAATGAGATGCCATGCTTAATCAAAGTTTTTACAGCTTTGGTTTGGTGAGAACTATGGCCACTTTTGAACTTAGAACCACTGTTGCTAGTTGAATGATAAATTCAATCCTTGCATGTCAACAAGTCTGTTACCCAAGAACAATAATAAGAAACAAATATGATACAATGTCCTAAGGTTCTAAAGAAGTGGTAAACATCTAACTTAGTAGCATTTAATTACAGCTCAACACAATATTTCTTACGAATGTTTTTCTGTGGATCATCAGATAGTAGGTAAAGTCAAGAAGCAAAGAGGGGATAAAGATAATTCTAAGAAAACAAGGGCCATATTTAAATTCCAAAATTAACTACCAAAGTTGGTCCACTGCCATTCCTAGTTGTGAGCAGAATAAAATGCAAAACTCATACACATTTTGATCATTTTATATACCAAATCCAGCAAGAGCGTACGGAGACACTTAATTAAACCAAGAGAAGTCAGTCACAAGCTCCAACCATTACAGACTAAACAGGCACACCACAATGAAGCATCAAAGACATGAATTGTATATAAACATGAGTGTCTATATCTATATATCTTTATATAAACATGTCTGTCTATATTTAAATGAACCAATCCAGTGGAAAATATTCATTTGATCTTCACCTACCACACCAATGTCCAAAAAATCGGTGAAATGTGGAAACGAGGAAGGCCCAAATCAGCAGCATCTATGGGCGGACACAATTTGAATAAATATGGATGAGTTAGGGGGTGTTTGATAATACCGTTTAAGGTTTAAAATTAAATACTTTAAGCACTTAATAAATAAAACTCATTTGATAATCTAAAAATCATACTATTTAATATTTTAAGCATTTCTTAAAAATAGGCTAAAAGTTTACTATTTAATATTTTAAGTACTTCTTAAAAATATGATAAAATTTTAAGCAGCAAGTCACCTACTTATCACTTAATGTTAAATGTTAGTCAATAAAGATTTTATCAATTTCTTATAATATACAAATATACATTCACCACCATTGTGTCATCGCTACCACCACCAAAACTATCACCATCACCACTACCATCATCACCATTGTGCCACCGTCACCATCACCATCACCATCACTATCGCTGCCGCCACTATTACGATTGTCACTGACACCACCACCACCATTGTTGCCACCACTATCACCACCACTACTGTTACCACCATTGTGTCACCGCTATCACCACTACCATTATGTCATTGTCGCCGCCACTATTGTGCCACCGCTACCACTACCATTATGTCATCGCTATCACCACCACGACTATCATCGTTACCACCACCACCATTGTACCATCGCCACCATCACCATCACCATTATCATTGTGTCACCGCCACCACCATCACCATCGCTGCCGCCATCACTAATATTGTGCCACTATCATCACCACCACCACCACTATTATCGTCACCACCATTATCGCCATTGTCACCATCGCCACCATTATGTCACTACCATCACTACCACCATTGTATTGCCGCCGCCACCACCACCATCATTGCTGCTTCCACTACCACCACCACTGTGATAGTGGTGATAAGAATTAGTCAGTTATGGAAAGATAATTAAAAAAAAGGGCAAAATTAAAAAAATAATAATTTTTAGACTTCAACTTCTTATATTTGTCAAACAGTTTAATTAAATTAAATACTTAAATTTCAGTTGATACCAAACAGTCAACAAATTAAAAAATTCAGTATTCAGCACTTAAAATTCAGCATTCAATTTTCAATGTTCAACTTTCAACTTTATCAAACACCACCTTAGTGTTTAGAGTAACTTAAACTTAGTCAAGCCTAGAAAAAGATAGGTTTAGATCCTAAAATCTCTCCACCTTATCATAGTTCCTAAAATATTTCCACATTATCCCCACATGTGTTATATATCTCTCTATGTATAGTGGGATTCTACCAACACATAAAATACAAAAAATTACTACGATTGATGTTCTCTATTATTTCTCTATATATCATGAATTGTGTGAGACTAGAACGGTGAAAATTCGGGTTTGGCTTGTATAGCCTTAACTTATTGTGAGTCAAAGTGTTCACGCTTAAAGGTTTTGGTGATCATCAAGGAGGTTCGTAAAGAATAGTAAAATATTATTCAAATTTGGAATAGTAAAATAGTATTCAAATATGTTGATTCGTTGTGCTTGAATCATAACGAGTATGACTTATTTAATGTATTCACGTTTCTACATTCTTACACCAATTACTTTGTATAGGAAAGTCCAAGTAATGTAATATGTGAATATAAGAAATTCCAATTTTGGTTTTTTTAATATGCATGAAGAAGTTTATATAATAATTAAGAATTAAAAATATAGGGTTGAAGCACTTTTTCTTTCACCAAAATAAAAAAAGATAAAAACAAAACATGTTGTGGATGTTTTATTTTGGCTGTCATTAAGGTTTAAGTTGTTCTTTGGATACTATAGTCATTGTCGATGTTAATAGGGTAATAAACTAATGAATCAAGGAGTTGCCTGCAGTATGAAAAAAAAAATAGGTATCGTATCGATATTTATCATATTTGTAAGTGTTTTTATCATTATTGTGGATATTTTTATCACTATTGTGGTACCGAAGAAAAGTGATAAAAGTAGTTACCACAATTGTGATAACAACACCTATAATAATGATAAAAATACCCACAAATGTGATAAATTTGATTCATTAGTTAGATCCACCAGCATACTTAAGTTTAAACTCGAGCTCAAACTCCTCATATCAATAGCCAATTTTTAGTAAACCCCTAATATGCAAGCTACCAGCTTTGGGATTTTTTTTTTTTAGTTTAATGACGAACCTTTCCAATGTAGGGTCATTTTGGATCCGTTCTTGTGATAATAAACATTAGATACTTGTAATCACCTATAAACTACATATATCAGTTAAGCCCAAGACCCACTAGCAGCCGCATACCGACTTCATTAATGAACAATAGGTTACCTACATCTTCTTTGGATGCTTGCATTCATAGATGGAATGGATGGAATGAGAATGAATTAAAGCCAACACTTGGTTTCTCATTCTAGATGTCACATCAAAAAGAGAAGAGAAATCTAGATGTCATGTACACAAGATTACATAATTCTTAATAAAATTAATCAACCTGAAATAAATTGCATTATGAGATCTATATTTCAACCCAAAAACAGTATCACAACTTAAAATACGACAGTACCCCATCCATTAACAAGCCAACAAGAACAAAAAAAAAACATGTACAAAGAAATTGACTACATTATTCCATTATTTTTATTAATCAACATTAGCTAGCTAGCAGATAGTTGAAGCAATTACTGCTGCTTAAAATCATGTACAAGAGCTTCATCAAACAGTCTCTGAGCTCCAATATCCATCAATTCAGGACTCAACGAAAACATTAAAACACAGAATTCGAATTCACTTAGAGCCCCATCTCCATCCAAGTCTCCTTCTCTTACCATGCTCTCCAACTCCTCGTCTCGAAGATTCTGCAAACCAAGAAGAAGAGAGTTCCTCTTGAGGCTCTCACATGTAATCAATCCTTTTTCACCATCCATCAGTAGCCGAAAACCATTACACAGCTCTGTGATCAATCCTTCTGTTCCTAACTTTTTAGCCATAACTGGCAACAAATCTTCGAACACTTCCATTTGCAAAATTTTCGGACAAGCAAAGGAAGAAAGATTAATGGCTTTGTATAATGGGTTGATACGTACAAAACGTGTTTGTGATTATATATAGAACAAATGCCATGCCAACCCAAGTCCAGACAGTCATTTGTCATTATTTTTCCTCTTTGTTGGTTTCATGGAAAGTTGTCTAAAGCTTAGGGTGGACGGTAGACCTGAGACAAGTGTGAATGGGTCTAAGACGACGCTGTCGGTGGTGATGACTTTGTTAAATTGTCGGAAACCTTCACCAAACTTCAATACCACTAGTCAACCTAAATATTATTATTATTTTTTTTTGAAAAATGGTACATGAGCCAAATAAAATTCAAAAGTTAAAATATAAATACATATTATCCATCGGATAAATGTGGTGTGTGTGTCCACTGAAAAAATTGATGAAACACACTCATCCAATGGATAATATGTATTTGAGTTACAATTTTTTGAGTTTCATTTGAATTTTGTAACATTGATCATTTTTTTTTTTTGATTAAACGGGGCTATTTATGTGCAAATTAACTAATTTCCTCCTCGGTCAGGTTAAAGACATGTCATTTATGCCTGGATTAAGGTATTTATTAAAAATAAATTTATCATTACTTGACCCAAGAAGTCATAAAAAATAAATATTTATATGTTAAACGGTGTGTGGTGTTCATTGTATGAATTTGCCAACTTTTATTTATAAATGAATTTGTGTAATATCGGATAAAAGGTGTTTAGATGCATTTATTTTATATGTTTAATGGGTTTATCTCTATTTATCATTTGAAAAAACTAAATCCAAATCGACTTATTCCATTTCATATTGATTTCTTATCAAATTTACGGAATTGTCACCGGACAGGACCATAGCTAAAGGATTTTATAATATTTAGGAAGTTGGTTTTCAGTTTGTATTGAACAACTGGGCTTAATTGACCCGTTTTGGTGGCGGCGCCTTCAAGAAACACCTTCACTGCAAGTTACCTATGTGAAACGGCCACAGCAAGTTTGAAAAGTTATCATCAAGATCAAACAAAATTTCCATGTGCAGAGAAGTATCCTAGAGGTTGCCAAAGAAAAACAGCTCAAGTTTTAATGTGGAAAAATGCTTGCTATAAAAATATAACAACGGTTAAAATTAATTTAATTTTTATTTATTTTGATCAAATTGTGCAAAATTCATCCTAAAATTTATTTTTTTGTTTAAAAATATCATATTCTTTGCTTGACTTAACTAATACACTCTCAATTTCAAGAAACCCCGTTAATTCACACCTATCTCTATATCTTACCTCTATCTTTTTTATTCGCTATTCACTTTAATTTTAGATTATATAATTAAAAAAATAATAGTAAAAAAAATTATTATCTAAAATATAAATATCATATAATTAATGTTCAATTTTTGATATTATAGAATGTCTCTAGACACGAGAGACATGGGATTATTGTTAGTTGTCTTATTCGGAAGTTCACTTCTTTTTAGTAAATATATTAGGAGTAAACCGTGTCTGAAGGTACGGTGTAATGTAAATAATTTTAAAAGAAATATTAGTGATTGTTGAATGAGTCTATTTGAGACCATCAGATAAGTTTATTAAAGTCTATCTTATTTTGTTGTATTATTGACGAGACTTGGAGTTACATGTGTGTAGAAAAAAGTCTGAATTTTATGTCCTTCGATTGGATCTAAATGCTCCATTGAAGGCAAGGCTTGGTGGAGTTGGCAAGGGTAGACTTTTATCTGATTGAAGGGGCCGTCCATGGGGCAGGCCCAATGACATTATTCTTTTGAGTAATGCTATAAGGATTTTATTTAGGGATTTAACGATGTAATTTCAATGTAACTACTAAATTAGTTATGAGTTTCAATATCATGGAACTCACAATCAATCCAATAATTATATATCATTAAATTTTCAATTAAGATTCTCAAATTATATTCAAATAGTATTTTCCTATTCTTTAATATTGATATTTCAGTTTCCTTGTGCCGAACCTTTGGGTGATTGATTCATAACACCCAAAGGAAATAGATAAAGCGCAGGAAACATGGATACTTGGGATTTGGTCAGAATCAAAACCCAAAAAAAGGATGGGAAGAAGAAGATACAGACTTGAGATCAGCCACAACCACAGATCTCCTCTTTCTCGATTAGATATGTTGTATCTAATCTCTTCTTCTATTTTTGCTTCTTTTTTTTTCTCCTCATCCTTCTTGATACTCCTGCGAGATTTGATGCCGTCAAATCTCGCATAGGCCGACCTCACTCACTCATTCTCTTCGATTAGTGTGAGTCGGCTTGCCCTAATTTCTCTTTAACAAAGTTTTTTTTTCTTCTTTCTGTCTCTCTTTCTCTCCGAGTTGTTTCCTTGTGATGGTGTCCCGTCACCAAATAACCCTTGAACTTTTTGTATTTTATGCTAAATTATAATCACACCTTATTAGTTGTCACCCTATTACCTAATTTGGTTTAGTCCATTGCCTATAACATATTTATCTACTAATCAAATTTAATATTAACCCATTGGTCCAATTATAAAATATTAAATATATTTTAAAATTTTAATGTATTCTCTTATCCGCATTATATCGAATATGACACCCGCATCTGTATTCATGTTTCTTACGATAAAACCCAGGACCAATATGAGCCTATACACCAAAAACCAGCCACAAAACCACTCACAAATAAAAACCCATTCCCAATTTCAATCCTAAATGGACACTCTTCCACCACCACATTCTAAGAACACACCATACTGGATTGAAAAAACCAAAAATTTCCAAAACCAAAGCAACCAGGTAAGACCAACAACTTTAAGGAGCAAAAACTCGAAAAAAAAAACAAACAAACATGATTGTCGTGTGTGAAATAGATTAATTCGAAGGCGGAGTTTGAAAATTGAGGTCTGAAAGTTAAAAATCATAGTTTTAAAATTCGACCCGAACATCAACCCGATAAAAAGCCCGGATTAATGGGTTATTGGTTGAACTGTTGCTTTACCGGTTAAACCGGTAAAATAATAAATAAATAATTATAAATAATAATAAATAGACTAAAAAATTACAATACTTTTCTAATACGAGCATCCAAAACCAAAAAACCACCAATAAAAAAAAACCCAACTAGTATCAAAGACCACCGGATATTCAAGTTTAAAATTTTCTAGCATCAACAACATCCCAATATTATTAAAAATATAGAAACGTTCACTTACAGACAGATGCACAATTTAATTCGATCAGTATACAAGTGAGTCAAAGGGACTACATGCTAATTGGATCTCCACGTCAAATGACAGTGCAAGCGAGTGTGGACCTCAAACCTTCAGATGAAGCAACACAGGCAACTGATCCACACCATCATAGTTACAATCACGATCAACTTTGGATTTTTAACAATCCAAAAGGATAAGAAAACCAATGTATAAAAAATCAAAGCTTCATTTAATGTATAAAATATAGCATTATCAATTATCAAAGATTCAATGTATACAAAATACAAATAAAAAATCAGATCTAGCATAGTCATACACCAAGAGTCAGAGAGCAGATAGATCGAGAGAGAGAGAGAGTATCACAGTACCTGCTGCTAGTTCCTGATGGTTGTCATCGATGCCTCGATGGAGCTTTGAAGCAGCATTCTCCTTCGAAATCGAAAGTTCCTTCCACTTGAGTCTTCAATCGAGTTCCTTACTGGATGACTTACTCCCTTTGGTGCTTGTAGTGCACACTACTGTTGAGTGCAGAGACCACAGAGAGAGAGACAGAGAGAGAAGGAGGCTCAGGTCGTCCACCTCTCCACCGATTGCCAAGAAGGAGGCTGTGGCTGGAAAGTGGAAACAGTTTAGGCCAAAATGCCCAAACTGCCCAAAATTCTTTATTTTATAGTAAATGTAATGATCTGGCTGGTTTGACTAAACTCGCCCGGGTTGATGGGTTCTTCGAGTTTTTTCCGGTTTATCGGGTTTTTTGCGGTTTACATGCATAAACGGTTCAATAGATGAACCGGCCCGGTTTAAACACCAGTTCATCGGGTCAACCCGTCAGGCTTGGGCCGAATTTTAAAACACTGTTGAAAACTAAATTTGTGGAGTGTTTGGTATTCACTGAAATTGAAGTACTGAATTGAATTAAACTGTTTGATAACTATACAGAGCTGACGTCTGAAAATAAATTAATTTTCAGTTTTACCCTTCTATTATTTAATTTAAAAATATTTATAAACATAACATAAATCATAATTATTATTATTATATTATAATCTATATTTAACAAATATTTGATCTAAATAAATAATATCTGAATAACACAATAAATGAACAATAACAAATTGAATAACATAATAAGTGAACAATAATATCTGATAAAAAAAAGAACAATAACTAATAAATAATTAAATAATATTAAAAAAATACATTAAATTAGATTTTATTAAAAATATGTGTGTGTAATGCATATGTCTGTATATAATTATGTGTGTAGTGTGTATAGTGCGTGCATGTGTGTAATTATAACTATATATGTATATTTTTTTAACAAAAGACAAGGGAAAAACTAAAAAAACAATTGACAAGGAGAGTATATTGATTAGGGGTTTCTTAGTGAACCCACTTAGCTTGAAGAATCTGAAAAATCGATGAACAATCTAATCGCGAACCAGAATGACCTCTCGATTAGCTATCGTTAGTTTGGCCATAATTGTAGAAGCTGCTTGGAAAGAGGAGCAGAGGAAAATCACCTTGAATATGGACCAGAATTCCGAGCCCTCCCAACCCAATCCTTCATTTTCTTCAAGGGAAATTGGGTCAATAAAAGCAAAGGAGTCGGTTGATGGAGTTAAGAAATTGCTACAACAAAGGAAGAACACGACCGGAGAAGAAGACCAATCGCCGGAGAGTTCACAGTGCCAGAGCAAATCAATCCTCCAATCATGGATTAGTCACTATCTTAGTTTTTTTTTTTGTTGTGATCTTCAAAAGGGTGTTTT